CCCCCCCCCCCTGCGGCCGCCCCCTCGACGGCCGGCGCCCTGCTGAGGGGTGCGAGGTCCCCGCGCGTGAACGATGCGTGCGGCCACCATGGACCAGCCGCCCGGAGCTGCTCCTAAATCTACCACTCTGAACAGTCCAGGGGGTACGCAAGGGACGGGGGAGGGGAAGTGTCGTGTGTATGGGGGGGTGGCGGAGCATGCACATGGGAATTTCTGGTTTGGGTGAAAGAGGCATCGTTTGTTTAGGCGCCTACTAGAGGCAAGCCGAACCTCACCCAAACGCCTTCGCGTTTTTGTTTTTTCTGCCAAAAGCAAACTTCGTTTTGCGCCCACTTCGCTAATAACACTCAAGAGTCCTGCCAGAGAGACGCGAAACTCGTTATCGCGAGGTTGGAAGGATGGGGCGAATACTGATGTGACGAGCTGCAAATCCCCATCCTGAAAACGAAAACCTACCGCTCGCCTGAGAAATTCCGTACCCTCTTCCCTTCTATCGTGGGTTTTCAGCACGAAACATAACGAAGGTTCAACTTAGGTACCCACCCGGCCGCACAGCAAGCATCATCAACAGGCTTGACAACAGCAACTCTACCATTTCGAAGCGGGGAAGGGAGAAGGCTCGGGTTTGCGCACGAAAGAAAACGACATCACGTGCCATTTCGCACTGTACCGGCGTGTGTCAGGGTGAGGCTGCTGCGGGGGAGTTGCTCTCGCTTACCGGTCTCCCGCCGATAGTACCCCGTGCCTGTCGTTGATCTCAACCAGCTTGAAGGCCGCGCGGGAGGGAGCGCCCGCTTCGACTGCCGCCGACACGTAAGGGTCCTGCGTCGATACACGATTCACTGCTGTTGTTGACGTTGGTCACCCGAAGCGCGCGAGCCTTCTAGAGCACTTGGGGACAACAAAATAATATACCCGAAACTCGTCGATAGACACCCCTACGGGCGGGCAGCTACTTCCCCGGGTTGGCTACCAACTCAAGGATTTTCCGCGTGCCTACAGTACTGTCAACATCCACGAAGGTGGAATACTCTATCGCGCAGAGGCCGAAGGAACAGAGTAGCACCGAAAAACACCTGTCCACATAGCAACGCTGGAAGTGACGCTTCCCAGCTCCCCTATACAACATCTCCGGACAACCAATAAAGCAGTCACCTTGAGGAGGTGTTGGCCCACAGGTCAGACAACGGAAATAGATAACCGGGCACGACCAAATGGTCAAGAGCGCGAGAAACACGACCCAAACCACATAGAAGGGGCTAGAGGCACACGGTGAGGCAACAGAGAAAGTAAAAAGTGGAGCATGTGCGCAACGGATACTGGAGGCATGGACTCAAAACACGAGGGCGAGCCGAAACGGAAACTCGGTGCGACTGAAAGACGACGCCTCCAAAGGAAGGAACGCAAACCTTGAGGTGGCGTCTCATCCAGAGCCCGGACGACCCCCCCTTGGTCGCCCGCCCACCTGCCGCCCCCCCCGCTCCGTTCTTGCCTGCTCCCGGTCGCTTTTGCCTTTGCTTGTGAGCAACTCCTCCTCCTCCTCCTCGGGCTTGGCCTCCGCCATTGGCATTGGCCTTGTTGCTGCTTGATTTAGCCGACCTGACGTGCAACCGCGCAAAAAAAAGAAGACTCGACCGTTGTTCGGGAGAAGGTAGGGGCGGTGGGTTGTTTGCGCAATACGTTGGGCCCCCGGGCTTGCTGTTGTGCAGGCATTTGTGCGCTGATGATGTCGTGAGAGTCATTACGCTTTCTGCGTACCGCGCGAAATGTGGTTTCTCCTCTCCCCCCGGTAGCGATTCCCCTTCCCCCTGGTGTTTGCCATCGGGGTTGAGTTTTCGTCGCTTGGCAACGACGTTGTAAAACAAGCCAATTCAAGTCGTGAGCTCGGCAACCAGGTTCCCGTTTTTTGTTTTACCTCCGTTTTTTTTTTTTTTTGCGGTAACCATACTGGTAGTCGAGTAGATCATGTTGTGCGGGGTGGAGAACCCTCGCTCCGCGCAAGGGGGATGATCGCACCACGTTGTGCTGAAATGGTCAAGCACCCTCGAGGCAGTTACACCTTGCTGACAACTGTCTCAGGAAGTGAAAGCACCAGNCCCCCCCCCCCCCCCCCGGTAGCGATTCAAAGGCTGATCTGCCCGTTTCTTGCGACATATGGCCTCTGCCCCACGTTGCAAATGATGCGGGTGCGAGCATCGCAGCAAGTCCATAGGAACCACTTGACATCGATGCCATCGCACCGGGTTGTGATAACGCCGAAATCGGTGCGGAAATCGATTGTAATCATTCGTTCTTGCTGGAACTACGATCATTGCCTCCGACACGTGCAAAGACTCGCATCCTTACGGCACTCCTTCAAAAATCACGCCATTGCTACAGTTGTGCTTCGGGGGGGATCGACCTTCGCTGGAATGTGGATGACTGGTGTCGAAATGCTATAGTCAAACAATTGTTGCACATACAAAAGTAGGACCAAGATGCGATCCGAGCGGAGGATCTTGCTGATGGTTGATCAGTAAGAACCCGACTACGGATGCGGCCCTCTTGGCGCCACCTACGGAGCTGGGGAATCCGAGACCCCCGGGCTTGGTCTCCCTCTCCCCTTCGGCGGCACTCTCTTTCCTCTTTCTCTTCCGAGACCTTCTCCTTTGCCAAATCTCAACGAAGGAAACTGCCAGCCCCTTTGAAGTGGGTAAAGACTAAATACTGCGATTCGGGCCTCCCCCTGACGAGGGGAGCCGGTGTCCTTATTGGCGTCGACGAAGAGATGCTGGAATCAAACATAGATTGCAGTGCAGGTAGGTGTTCGGGCGTGACAAGATTTCGCCCAGGTCACTTAATCTTGCGTATTTTCAGGGAACAAATGCTGCCATAGTAGCACTTAGCCACAAGGCGTGATCCACTGCACTCAACTGCAAGAGCGGCCAAGGTTGTATCTTCAGAACGCCATGCATGGAAGCTTGGATGATCACACGTTCAGCCACACCTTCGGCTTCCGACGCAACGAACACTCAAGATTGCATGCCCAAGTCTACATGACATGACTCTAGTGCAAAGTTTCAAAGTGGATTGTTTCCCACGTGAAAGCCACCAAAATCGTTTCCTCGCCCCAAGCTGCCATCCTCGGAGGAAACCTGAACGAAAACAGGCCTTAGCTCGCGACAGCAGTGCTGCTCTGCAAATCCCTTGTTGCCGCTTGGACGGGGCTGTAGGAGAAAAAACACGGCAGCAAACTAATCTCCCACCTGAGCTCTTGCTTGGGTTCACTTGTTGTGGATGTATGCTCTTCAACGAAATGCCCTTGGAGAGGTTCCCGACCTCTTAAGCTCCGGGCGGAAGAGGCGGTGTTTCCGATCGATTCGTATTTGTTTTCCCCCAATGAACCTCTTCCTCGACTTCGGACGACCCAGTCGAACAATCCATGAGACGCGTCCGGGCACAACAGTCCTGAAAGTTACTTAGTCCTGGCAGCTACCAACCTAACTCACTCGGCCCTGGCAACCACCGACCCTCCTCAGTTGTTGACAACCTGGGTCTTGGAGACCGGGGACTCTCTCACCCGGAGAACCCCCGTGCGATGTGCAGGTCCAGTAGCGATATTGCTCGGGTGGTGGTGGTGGTTGCTGTTGCTGCTGTTGTTGTCGCCAGCCGACGGAGCCCCTTTCGACCTGGCAATGTTTAAATCATTTCAAGGAGGTCAAATTGTGTCAACTCCTGACAGAGATTCGAACCCCAAACCTGCTACCACTATTTATTAATAGTACCTCCCAGTAGAACGCTGCTGTAGGTTTGTGAGGTTACCCATGACACAATTCGAAAACCCAGCGAGACAGGACTCCTTTTTCCACAAGCCTCTACGATGCAACAGCAGTAGTATGGTGGGATTGGGGCTAGCTAGTACTCTAGTGTGATGTTAACAAAGTGCATGTGCCGTAGAGCTGAGACGATACGGCATAGGTGGTGCAGGGGGCAGACTACATATGTACAGGGGAAAAAATGTGCCGACCATTCATGCGACACACAAGCGTGTTTCTGCAGCCAAGCAACGAGAGCTTACGTTGAGCTCTTTGCTGATATCAGGGCACACTTCCTGTTCAATACACCGTGGTACGTAGGTAAGCAATACCATTCGTACCTCTCAGCAGCATCCTGTCTCCTGCACCAAAGCACCAGTCGTGTTGCTTCGAATTGTCGGTGAAGGAGATCGTGGTCCACAAAGCCTCCTTCGAAAACTATCTGCCCCCCGACTATAAACGGGGACCCAATCCTAACTCTCTTCTCCACACTCTCATTCGCTTCCCCGGCGATGGTCCAGTACCTTGTCTTGCTCCAAGGGCTGAGGGAGATGAAGCTCCAACGGCCGAGTATAGCGGAAACAGTGAGAGCGCCCTTACGCGGTGGAAACGGCTGGTTCGGAGCTTCCCGAACGGAAACATTTTTAAATACTGAACCGTCGGAAATATTTCACCCATTGAAGCAACCCTACGAGCCCAACCCTACAGGCAGCGGGTGAGCCGGCGAGGGGCGAGGGTCGACAAGAGCAGCCGCGAGGAGCGAGGAGCGAGGGGGGAGGGGCGAATATCCAGTAGGACCAACCACCAGTCATTGGCTCCCAGCAGTGCTTCGAAATACGAGCTCAAATTGGATGAGCCAACGAAATACAACTACTGTAGTCCCGTGTGGATCGCTTGACCAGTTGACCATCGCCTCCCAGCCCTAGCCAACTACATGTATTCGTTCCGGCAATTCGCGTCGTCAAACCGCATCCCTCTCCTTGTTTGTCGATCTTATTTCCCGCCCGGTTGTCGCTGTTTTGTACGTGTACCTTACGTGAGGTCCGGGGGTAGGCAAGCGGGCGACCAGCAAGACTACAGCTCCGAGATGCGTGCAGCGACGATCAACGGGAGGAGGAAGTAGTAGCAGCAGCAGGAAGGTTGCTGACAGGGCCATTATCAGCAGGTACTGGTCTTGGTGTGATGGTACCATAAACAACAAAGTACTTCCTGCTGTCAGGCAACTAGTGCTAAAAGCGCGCGATCTCAGCAACCCTGACATCACCACCGACCGACATTTCATGGTTGTACAATTTCCTGTTTGTATTCGATAAAGTTACACCACTATTTAGTCTAGACAAGTCAGCGGTGACTGGTCTAATGGTTTAAGATTCACGCACGGATTCGAAATCCGACTGGTCACTTTCCCAAGCACCATTAATTATTTCTGGCAGCGTCGCTGACTGGTCTAATGATGTACTTTTATCGAATACTATAAGATATGTTCAGTGCGCATTTGCACCCGGAAGGATCACATTTATTTTGGGTTGTTGAGAATGTAAGGGTCTTCGGGGACGGACCCCTCGCCAGACGCTACCAGGAATACCTCATGATGCTTGGCAAAGTGACCAGTTGGGTTTCGAACCCGTGCGTGAATCCTCTATCACCAACTCTTAAACCATTAGACAAGTCAGCGCTGACTTCACTAATGGTTTAACGTTATCAAATAGTTTTCGCATCTCTGTCCTCCTCTCTTGTCCTCACCCATCGCCCTTTGTCGTTGGTGTTATTCACCTTTCGTCCATGTGATTTTTTTTTATTGTTTTGAGAGTATCGCGGCCTCGGATGCGGGCCAGACGCAATCCGAAGAAATGCAGCGCCGCAAGCAGGAAGGCGTGGTTCGCCGACCCACCGTTAGACTATTTCTGTAGTTCCAACCCCAACAACAACAGCGGCCGTCGTAGTGGCTACAGCAGGCGGCGCATCAGTTTTAACGTCATGGAGCTCAATGGGTGGCGGAATCAGCGAGAAACTGTTCGCAAAGCTTTGATCCGGCCTCCCCTCCGCCAACGCACCCGCCCGCACCTGCGCTGCAACCATGAGGCCGTCCGTAGGGAGCAGTTCCGGCGGCAAACGAGGCAATCTAGACGGGCGGGTGATCCGTTTGGTGGTGGCAACAACGTCCAAGGTGGTCAGGGATACAGGGGGTGAGTTGATGACGGTGGTAGCAGCGCCAGGGGTCAGACCAGGCAGGGGTACGAGAGGGTAAGGCATCAGGGGGGGGGGGGGGG